GAACCTATTAAAATTTAGTGGAACGTTCTACTAAATCTAGCCCTACTAAATATAGCCAGTGCACCTGGCTATAATAGCCCTAGGTTACAGGGTAACCCATATTATAAAAATCCATAGATTTCGATAGTTTTTTCGATTATAAATTAACTTTATTACTAATTAATTTAATTATAAATCCAGTTTATTAATAATATATTCCAAAATATTTTTATTAGTTGATTTTATAGGTATAAAAGGTAGTTATTCCTCCGTAATTAGTTATTTTTTCCTTAAGCTTTAATAAATTAGTTATACAGCCCTATAATTACCCTCTACGGCCTGATTTTACGAATTATATAAACGCTTCCCTGTGCCTAAGTTTATAATCCACCAATTATACCTTAGAATAATAAACCTTTAAATAAGATAATAGCAAATAAATTAACGAAAAGCTTACTAATAGGAAAATAGCAGAATTTTTTATAATAAATAGGATTTAAAATTACTTATTATAATTAAAACGAATAACCCTAAAAAAAGCTATATTTTGCTAATTAGCGATTTTAATTTAAATATAGCTAGATTTACGATAAATTATAAATTTAAGGGGGTATATTAAATAGTGGATTATGGTTCCTATATATTGGCGTGTATTTGAGTATACGGATTAATATTATAGTATTTAGATAAATGTACGGGACCTCCCGGGGATTAGCCGGGGCTACCTAAATAAGCGTATACCTTATTAAAACTAAGAGGCGCAGAATATAAATTAATATATCACACAATTAACACCCATATTAGACCAGTTTAAACTCTAATAGGAAAGCACCACCTTGATCAATAATAACGGAACTATTAATTTATATTATTATTCCGCCGCCGATAGCACTTTTATTAAAAATCTTTATTTTAATTCTAAAAAAACAAAATATACGACGAATATTATAAGCGGTATTCGAAACCGTAATTCGGGAGGTAAAAATAGCTATTTACGGTTTAACAAAAATCGCTATACGGTTATTACCGTATTAACGACGATTTATAACGATAAAAGGATTATAAAAACCGATATTATTACCGTTTATTTTAATTAAAAGCAAAGCCAAAAAAGCGAGGCTAAAAAAAGCACGCTTATTAGAAATAAATCTAATAGCATAAGTAATATTAAGCTTAATACCATTTTAAGGAATAACCGTAATATAAGCTAAGGCAGCACTAACGTCGGTGTATATACGGCAGAGTATAAAATATACCTCGAATAATAGAAATATCTGATTCCCTGATAGAATATGATGCGGGCCCCCGGTTGTGGGATAGCATGTTGAGGGTGGTTCTGCTTTCAAAATCTTAGCTCTGCCATGTCAATAAGTAAGGCACAAGTAATTCGGCCTTGGCACAAACTCCATGTTACAGCGATACTTGTCAAAAGCCAGTTTCGACATTCTCGAGACAATAAATCGGCCCGCAAAAAGAGAAAATGTGAATCTCAGACCGTGGAGATACGTCAGGCAAAAGAATGATCCGAGGCGGGCTCGATCCGCCGACCTTCAGTGTGTTAGACTGACGTGATAACCAACTACACCATCGGACCCGTTTGCTAGTTGTTACATACGCCGACTAATGGTATCCATATCATTGGACTAGGTCACTGGCTCAATTTTTATTAGGTGAAGTCGTCGCCAACCCGAGTAGTATGGATGAACTGCTTAACGTAGCCGTTGCTTCTGAAGTGTCGTGAAGGGAGCAGATCGATTTTTGTATTACTAGGCCTGGGACGATGTAGGTAAGCATCGATGACAGTGACTTTGGCTGTAGGCACAATGGTGAGTTCTTGGGGAAGAGAAGAGTGAGAGATGGCTGGCTTTGTGAATATGCGCAAATCTGTGTTGCCCAGTCAAGCGAAACTTGGCGACGATAGCGACCATGCTGTTTACCTTTTTTCATGGAGTTGAACTTGCGCCGAATCAAGTTGCCACGGGAGCAGGTTGCCAGTCAAACCCTGGTAGCCGGGTGCCTTGATTCCAGGCCTTTGCGCTTCACCTAGCTGATCGTAGCGCAGGAAAAGAGAAGTATAAAATATCGTCGAGGCACTATGTATAGAGGCCCCTCGGAGATAAAGATCAGAGGTATGTCATCGGACTAGAGGATGTGCTGAGCTCATGAAGCGATGCCACCTCACGCATTGACTTTCAGATCGATGACATGGTGACGGTGCCTGTTGACAGATAGCCCTCGTCGCATTTTTGTCGGCAGACTCATGCAGGTAGTCCAGGGCCTTGGCTTTTGTCGAAGTAGGGGCTTTGCTATAGTATATCCTGGCGTTTGTTGGTTTTATTTGGTAGAGACAAAGATCAACCTCGACGACACGGACGACATGCATAGTCAGCGGGTTTATTTAGGTGCCAAGCGATGGATTTGGGGCCGTCGTCATGGAGCTGGGGTAAAGTCTGGATGCATCTTGAGGATCCATTCTTGTTTACCTTTGCATGATTCATAGAGGACATCGTTACGAGAGCCGGATTTGCCGAGCAATTCCTGGAAGCAGAGGCTAGGAGTCTACAGTGTACTCGAGTCTCGATTGCGTCCTTAGCTCTGTAGGTGAGTAATTATGCAGATTGATTGACATCTGGTTAAAACAAGCATTCGATCAACCTCTTTTTTCATCGTTCCCAAGCCCATGATTCTAAACCGAGACATTGACAATAGCAGACGCCAGACCGACATGGAATCTGCTGGACTCGAGAGACATCGTTGAGCTTGAACATGCCAAAACGGGGTCGAGTTTCCCAAAAGAGAACAGCGCGGCTCGGCGATCGGGTAGCATGACGGGATTTCGAGAGGCTTGCGGGCTGGCTGCTGGTCGGCGGCTGTTGCCCCCACAGAACGGGAATAGCACAGGTACGACATGGAGACGAATGGAAACTCTAAAGAAGGACCAGCCAGATGATTGTGGTGAGTGAGGTGGGTGAGGTGGGGTGCAAACCACCTATCCCCAAGCCAAGTTGGTTGCACTGGCTGGCTGGTAAGCTGTAAGTTGGCCATGGTTGCTGGCCAAGACGTAAAAGCAGCCGGAGGCTCGGGCACGTAGTGGACGTTAGTAGCGTTATTATTGTCCGCGTGTCACAGTTTCTTCCATCCGCCGATCGCAAGAGCAGCCAGATGATGACTGGGGAACTGCCACTTCCATTTCGAATCCTTCGATGAGTACGAAATACTTGTGGAAATAAAAGGAGACGGCAAGAAAATGATATACGAACGAGACGTTCACCTGGGAAGAAATGCGGCTTAGATGCTGGGTGCTGGGGAGACTCCCGGCGCAGGCAGAAGCGCTGTAGCTGTCTCTTCTTTAAGGCGAGAGAATGCCCAAAATTAGAAGGCCGGGTCTAGACGTGGGCACAAAAATAAAAGAAAAGCCCACATGTTGTCCCAAACCAAGACTAGAGTGTAGCACCAGTGCCACCTAGGGAGAAATAGAGATGAACAGGAGAGGCCACAGACAGAGTTGCACACAGTCTATCAAACTGTCAAGATGGAGTCTCTTTCTCATTTTTCTGTTCTTTTGGAGCAAAGCACCGCTAGCAGAGAAATATGCGGGGGCCGGGTGGATACCGACCGATTTATGCATCTTTTCTTTCACTGTCCCGCAGCCAAGCGAGCGCCGCTGCCGCTTGGGCCGCGGCGGCGCCGTGTTTCTATAAATTGCCAGCCAATGCAACACCTTCGGTTCCGCGTCTTTTGTGCACTGTAGGGCGACAGACGCGACCACCAACATTTCTGAGCTTGCAAAGCCTGTTTTTACGGGGTTTTAGACTTGCTTGTATGCTTGCTTGCTTGTCTCCTTGGCTACACCCTACCCTACATTACAGTATCGACTAAAATGCAACCAATTGTTACAATGAAAAAGGGGCCAGCAACAGGCCATTTCCGGGGTGCTCGCCTTGGCTAGGCTTACGGGATTTTCATAAACTGAGCTGTTGCTGCGGGCCCATCTACGTCATTGCCAATGAAGCCCAAACCACAACCACCAAAAGTCATTGGACCTGTATATGGCGCCAGCTCGTGGCTGTGCACTTTGAAGTTGGATGCTCATGCTCGTTGTTGTGCAACCTTCGGAATTGCACAGTTCCCGGCGACCCGGGTATTCGCATCTTAGGCACCCAACTACCAACTACCAGCATGAAGTAGTCCCGTCATACCTACGGAATATGCCACATGTTCTCGTATTGCTGCTAGTGTAAAGAAGCAACCCGTGGCCACTGGAAGACATGGCTGCCGACCTCTTTTCTGTCGAGCTAGGTACTGTATGTAGCTCATCATGCTGCTGCTGCTGCCCAGCCGTTGAGTTATTTCCCGAACCGACCAAAGCCACTAGCATAAACGTTAGCAGGAATTAGAATTGACCCCATCGAGTTCAATGCAAACTTTACTTGCACGCACTGAAACTTGGCTGGCAAGCACTGCTGGCTGGACAGGTAGTCAGGCCTAATAATTTAAATGGCCACAATGTGAAAAATACTAGAAAAATAATAATAAGCCTCATTGTGAATAATGGATACTACAGAGCCGTGCTCCAATGACGCACGCACCAAAGCCGATCTATATCAATATAGTTGGCGCGAGCTTGCCGGGACATCCCCGTTAACTTCGTATCCATCATGAAACACGCGAATACTTGCTGCTGATCCTGGGTCATCCTCCTCGCCTTGTGCGGATCCCTCATCGCCCTGCACACTGTGTATGCTCTCTTCTTGTGTCTTGTCTGCTGCTATCCCGTTGTCAGCCCTGTCAGCCTCTATTAAACCCGTTTGCGGACCTTTTTATCCCGATGTCGTAAATAATCCCCAAAAACCCAAATATTCACTTTTCCATGCTTTCCGTGTGTATTTCCACCTTGTAATATGCGATCATCCTCTACATAGGATATCGCCTTTTGCTCCGGACAACTTCGTGTGTCCTTACTCTCGCTTTATTCAACACACACTTACACACATTGATTCGGGAATCTCCAGTCCTATACGATGGAGCCCAACGATAATAAACCCCCTCCCCATCCCCATGAGGAGGAGGAGTATGTCAGAGGATACCAGCTACAGGACATACCTCTCGACAGGAACTCTAGAGACGTGAGTAGCGCTCATCCGATCTATAAAGCAGTACCTTGAGGGATGCAATTGTTGACTCAAACGCACAGGAACAATCTGCACCTCTGCAACAGGATGCCTCCCATGGCTCCTCTTCTCATGATGACTATTACCTTGAGCCAAAAGGCCCAATCTCTCCATACTCACCAGCGTCAGGCCCTGGGGGTTATTATGACAGCACGCAAACTTTGGGCGTGTATCACTACCCCAGTGCCGACCCCCATTCTCCGACTCCGGATGCAGAGGAATGGGGCAAGGGCAGCTTTAGCAACAACAGCTGGAGGTTTTCTAGACCTCCGTCCTCATTTGGCGGCTTCAATGACACTACTTGGGCCGAACGTCAGCAGCAACCGGGCACACGCTTGAGCGGTGCTGGCGATGGTCTCCGCCGCCGCCCCACGAGGAAGATCAAGCTCATTGAAGGTCGGCAGGGACCGGTCCTCAGCACCAACTATCCCGTCCCCAGCGCCGTCAAGAATGCCGTGGAGCCTCGCTACATGGAGGAGGGTACGCATGAAGAGTTTACAGAGATGCGATACACGGCAGCCACCTGTGATCCCAACGAGTATACCCTGCTCAACGGATATACGCTGCGCCCGCGCATCTACAATCGGCACACAGAGCTCATGATTGCCATTACGTACTACAACGAAGACAAGGTCCTCTTTGCCCGAACGTTGCACGGTGTGATGCAAAACATTCGCGATATCGTCAAGCTGAAGAACTCGACCTTTTGGTCCAAGAGCGGACCGGCCTGGCAGAAAATTGTCGTGTGTATAATCTTCGATGGTATCGAGAAGGCCGACAAGAGCGTCCTCGATGTGCTCGCCACGATAGGAGTTTTCCAGGACGGTGTCATCAAAAAGGATGTTGGTGGCCAAGAAACCGTGGCTCACATCTTTGAATACACCAGTCAGCTTTCCGTCACACCCAACCACCAGCTCGTCCGGCCCAACGCCGAGAATCCCAAATCAAACCTGCCACCCGCACAATTCATCTTCTGTCTCAAGCAAAAGAACAGCAAAAAGATCAACTCGCATCGATGGCTCTTCAACGCTTTTGGTCGCATCTTGAACCCGGAAGTCGCCATCCTCATCGACGCTGGTACAAAGCCGGGGCCTCAATCGCTGCTGGCCCTCTGGGAAGGTTTCTACAACGATAAGCACCTTGGCGGTGCTTGTGGTGAGATCCATGCCATGCTGGGTCACCGAGGAAACAAGCTCTGGAATCCACTCGTTGCCGTGCAAAACTTTGAGTACAAGATTTCCAACATTTTGGATAAACCGTTGGAATCCTCCTTTGGTTACGTCTCCGTCTTGCCTGGTGCCTTTTCTGCATACCGATACCGCGCCATTATGGGCAGGCCCCTGGACCAGTATTTCCACGGAGATCACACGCTTTCCCACGGCAAAAAGGGCCTTGAAAGCATGAACATTTTCAAAAAGAACATGTTCCTTGCCGAGGACAGAATTCTTTGTTTTGAACTGTTTGTGAAATCCGGACAAAAGTGGCATCTCTCGTATATCAAGGCGGCCAAGGGAGAAACAGACGTGCCCGAGGGCGCCGCCGAGTTTCTCAGTCAACGTCGCCGATGGCTCAACGGATCTTTTGCCATGTCGCTCTACTCCCTGCAGCACTTTGGCCGTCTGTACAAATCCGGGCACAACATCATTCGCATGTTCTTCCTCCACATTCAGTTCTTGTACAACTTTGCCAATGTCTTCTTCAGTTGGTTCTCGCTCTCCTCGTACTACCTCACCACCTCCGTCATTATGGATCTTGTCGGCACGCCCGTCGAGGCCACCGGCACCCACGGTTGGCCCTTTGGCGACACGGCCAGTCAGATCATCAACGTCGTACTCAAATGGATCTACCTGATTTTCCTCATCATCCAATTCATTGTGGCGCTGGGAAATCGACCCAAAGGTTCGCGACACACGTATATTGCCTCGTTTGCAATCTTTGCTATCATCCAGGCCTACATCATTGTGCTCTCGTTTTACCTAGTCTACAAGGCGTTGCGAACACCGCTGGGAGAAGACATCAACACGACGTCTGGTCAGGCCTTCTTTGAAAGTATATTTGGCGATCAGGGCATCACCGGAGTCATTCTTATTGCTCTGATTACAATTTACGGTCTCAACTTCTTGGCATCCTTCCTGTCGCTGGATCCCTGGCACATGTTCCACTCGTTCCCCTACTATCTCGTTCTCCAGTCGACCTACATCAACATCCTAATGGTGTACGCCTTCAGCAACTGGCACGACGTGTCTTGGGGTACCAAGGGATCCGACACGGCCGACAAGCTGCCCTCTGCCGCCATTAGCAAGGACGCCTCGGGACCGCGCATCTACGAAGAAGTCGAGCGCCAACAGGACGACATTGACACGCAGTTCAAGCGCACCGTGTACCGGGCTCTCGCGCCCCTCGAGCCCGAGGTGGAGGAGGAGAGCAAGGACAAGGAGGACTCGTACAAGTCTTTCAGAACGCGTCTCGTGGTATCCTGGATTGTTTCCAACTTGATCTTGTGCATCATTGTCACTTCCAACGAGTTTGAATTCTTGGGCGTTCAGGTAAGAAAGCTATCCCAGCACAAGATTTTATCCAAATTCTATATCGAAATATGTACTAACCTTGATTCCCCGTTTTATAGGAAGCATCAATCAAGCGAACCCCCACTTACTTCCGAGTCCTACTCTTTTCAACTGCGGCCCTTGCAACGATTCGTTTCTTGGGATTCCTCTGGTTCTTTGGCAGGACACTCATCAGAAGCTTGTTCAACAAGAAATAATCAAGCGGCGATCTTTTCTTCTTCTTCTCGGCTCTTTGTTGTGCCATTAGGACTGTGGAGGTTTGATACCCCTTGGCACAAGTTACATCTTTTGGATTTTTGTTTGGGTTACTGGTACAGGCGCAAATGACGGACGGCATTACGGGACAAATGGATGCACGGACTGAAGCTCCTAATATGCATTTTTGGGATGGGAAGGGGGCTTGTTCAGGTCACTGCAGCAGGGAGCCCGCTGCCAAAAAGGGTACTCATTATCCAGAAAAGAAAGAACAGAGTCAACCACGTTGAATACGAAAATTTATGTCATCAACTTTGCATCTTCAATGGATACGTTTATTGGGGTGTCCTCGAGTTTGGAGAGGCCTAACATTTAATGGCGTTAGCGGGTAGACATGACACAAGGAGATTTTCGCACTTGATTCATGGAATTTTCGTCGACACGACCGTTGCTGTTTCGGGTACAAGAAAGCTGTAATGGAATCCGTTGTCGGTAAAATCTTTACGCAGCACAAACTTGAATCAGTGCACGAATACTAACACAAATTCTAGAAAAGGCCAACACATACAACAAGTCTATTCTCGTTGTGTCACCAGCTTCACTATGGCGCATCAGCCAAACCCGATCCAAAGTACGATCCGTGACAATCGGTAATTTGGCAAATGTCTGACAGAGGATTGTGAGATTGGAGCAAAAAAAATGAATTGTAGATATGGAAAGCGTCGCTTTTCTGACTCATCATCCCATCTTTTCGTAGCAATAGATTGCCTTTGTGGTTGTAAAATGTAGCCCTTTATTGGCCTCTGTACTCTGTAGAAACGTGTGCTGCATGCATTCCTTGGAAGCTTGGCACCACCTGCAACCTGCGGCACAGTTGCAGATGCTCCTATATCATGCCTTGTCGGGATCAACATTTGAAAAAAAAAAAGAAAAAAAGTATTTTCGCGGCGTTAAAAGTCCCACATCCTTGCAACCGGCAGTGGGCACGATCCATGCAGATTCGGATGTAGCATGCATGTTCATTGTCCATTGTGTAAGATTCTGGACAAGCCAAACATGCAAGGGATCGCACCATAGCATAACGCATAATGCGGGGGAACGGTTGGTGAGCAAGGATATGTTGAGCAGCGAGATGTTTAGGTACTCGCCAACTTGATGAACTCGAATTGGGAAACAGCGTGTACGGCACCAACGATAGAGAGGCTGTTTGGACATCTCCGGCTTCAAATCTTGACACTTCATCCCAATCTCACCTATTTGTACACCCATCAAATATGACGGGCACGATACTACTTACTGGTGCCAATGGCTCCGCCGGCCTTCATGCGGCCGAGCAGCTGCTCAAACATCATAGTGAATTTACCGCCATTTTTACGGTCCGGGACGCTGGAGCGGACGATATCAACACACAGAACCTGCGACAGCTCATTGCACGTTACCCGGAGGCCAAGGCCACCGTACATCAGCTCGACCATGCTAACCTGGCGTCCGTCCATGAATTTGCCAACAAGATCTCGGCCGCCATCGCTGCCGGCGAGTACCCGCCTCTAGGAGCAATTGTGTGCAACGCCTCGTATTGGAACATGGTCCTTGACTCGGAACTTACAGCAGACGGCTATGACAAGACTATACAGGTGAACCACATTGCGCACGTGGCCCTCGTACTTCGACTCTTGGGCAGTTTTGCTGACGAGGGTCGCATTGTGCTACTCTCAAGCATCGCCCACTATCGCCAACCTAATGCAATGACATCGCACCTCCCCGAGATTCCAGACGACATTGACCAGCTTAACCATCCTCCTCCTGACAAGGATAGGCAAGGCCGTGGTTTCCAGAGATATGCTAATTCCAAGCTCTTGATCACGACCTGGATGTACCCGCTCAACCGTTATCTGCAGAAGGTAAATATGTATCTGGCCTAAAGGCTTTCTCTTACGAAACAAATCAATACTAAGTATTATGTGGCATAAAAAGAACCCAAAATTCAAGAACATCACGGCCGTGGCCATTAACCCGGGTGGACTGGCCGACTCACGAGCCTTTACTTCCAACACGCCACGGTCGATACAGCTCCTGCAGACATTCATAGTGAAGCCATTCATGGGGGTTATCAACCGCCTGGCCGACCCAACACTCCGATCGTCGGCCGCGGCTGGAGTCGACCTGGCAGAACTTGCCGTCAACAAAGCGCACCCCGGCGAACGTGGTTATTTCACCATGTTGAAGAAGGACGAAAGTGATCCCCTCACGTTGGACGAGGGCGTCCAGGAGAAAGTGTGGAAGAAGAGCCTGGAATGGGCCCATATCACAAAGGACGATACTGCTTTAAAGGAAGCCTTTGAGTAAATCTACAAGCCTTAGATACTCTGTATATTTCATTTATATGCTCTGGACCTATTGATATATAGTTCAAATCCGTGTGACTTGCCCTTTCGTCATCCGCTACAAGCTACTGGTATATAGGTTAACGAGATCGCGGGTATTCTGGCTTCGGGTCTTCCTAAATTCATTCGGCCCGGGCCCTGGCGCATCCGGAAATGCTTACATGCCATAGTGCACCGACAGGTACAAAAGGTATAGGACAAATTCGACGGGGACGACCCGGACGCGAACATGGACCGGGATCCCTACTAGGGGTCCCGCTTCGCTCGCGAGATTGCGAAATGGCTCGCATCGTATTGCCAACGGCCATACGACAGTCGCCCACTGCACGTGAAAGGGGGAAAGCCTTATAGATAGTTGCGATTTGGCGGTGAGTCTAACATGCGTCCTAAAGGTTGAAGGTCATACAATACCAGTCACAGCATGGGGCGTGATGGAGCTCATTCGAGATCCGCAGCTCATGCAGGCCATGAACCAACTGCATGGTACCTAGTACTTCCCCTCATTTTCGACTTCAAATTGCCATAATGCTTATACATAGAAGAGCCTCTCCGCTTTTAGGCCTGTTGGCAGTGGTCTGGCTGTTGCCAGGACTTGCCACAGCCTTTACAACCGCTTCTGTCTCAAACTCTGCGCAACACCATGGCAGACTCGTTGGCCTCTTTTGCTAAGCGTATTGGCCTCTCCGATTCGCACGCAAAGGCGCTGCAATCGCAACATGGTAGTTCTTGGTCAAACGACACCCAGCCCGACGAGAACCTCAAGATCGCTTGCCAAGTAGCCCAATTAATTCTTGGGCTTGACCAAGTTGAGACTTCGCCCGTGAACCAAACTATAGTCAAGGAAAACTGGTAAGCACAACCAGATGCCGGAGTTTGCTAGGCTTCATATTTTTTACCAACCAATTTTTCAAGGTCATTGGCTTGTGTCGCCCAGCCTTACTGTGTATTCTTGCCACGCAACTCTAGTGATGTCTCCAAGATCCTACAGATAATTGATTACTTCAAGATCAAGTTCGCGGTAAGATCCGGGGGTCACTCTCCGAACCCTGGCTGGTCCAGCATTGACAGCTCAGGAATTCTGGTCTCTTTGGAGAGACTTAATCAGGTCACGCTTTCAGACGACAAATCTGTTGCGAGCGTCGGACCAGGTGGTCGCTGGGGTGATGTGGACGCTACTTTGACCCCCTTCAACGTGACTGTTCTTGGTGGTAGAGCCGGCCCTGTAGGCGTCGGCGGTCTCCTGCTCGGAGGTACACAGATCGTCCTCCTCCAAATCATCTACGATTGATCAAGTATTGATGTTTTACTTAGGTGGCTACCACTATCTAGCCGCAGAACATGGACTTTCTGCAGATAACGTGAAGAACTTCGAGGTTTGTCATCTCAGAACACTGATTTGGAAGTGCTTATCTTGTACTTACATCTCTACTCTGTAGATTGTTCTGGCAGATGGCAACATCACAAACGCTAATGCCACAGACAATTCCGATCTATTCTGGGCTCTCAAGGGCGGCGGTCCAAACTTTGGCATAGTCACGCGATATGATCTATACACATACCCACTCACGGCAACGTGGCTACAGCTCGGAATCTACCCCATAGACCAAGCTCAGAAGACCCTGGAGGCCTTTGCGACATGGCAGAAGGACGGAGGCAGCAACCCCAAGAGCAACGTCATTTTGACCATTACCTTGGACGCTGTCATCATCGGACTGACCTACAACGAGCCTTTATCTGGGCCGCCGGATGTTTTCGCGCCGTTCTCCGAGCTGACGCCCTTGCAAATGCTGATCCCGCCATCCAATAATACATTCTCAATCATATACGAGATTGGAAATTCTATCCTTCCAGCGGAGCACTTGCGGTACGAACTCCTCCGTCACCTCCTTCTTCTTCTTCTCTTGCGCTCAACACACTGAAATTTTCAACAGACATGATTACAGAGGGGTTGCCTCACAAGTTGATGCCCAGCTTTACATAGATGTCTATAATTTCTGGCGAGAAAAGGCTCTCGACGTTCGTAATTCGACGGGTGCAGACCAGGCTTTTGTTCTGCAGCACGTTCCAGAGAGCTTGGTCGCTCAGGGCATCGCCAAGGGTGGCAACGCCTTGAATATCCCGCAATTTACTCATCAATGTGAGCCCACGCGTTCTGGAGAGGGAGCAAATCGCGCAGTAACACTAACACTCTTTCCCTATAGGGTGGACGACCTTGGTTGATTGGACCAACGCCAAGGACGACGATGTGGTGAGATCCGTAGCGATTGACACCACTGCAAAGTGGAAGGAATTGTCTGCAGAACGCGGCCTGGATGTTGCGTTCTTGTACATGAATGATGCTTCAAGAGATCAGAATCCAATTGCGACATATGGAATTGATAATGTCAACAAGTTAAAGTCGATTGCGCAGAAATACGACAAGAGCGGGTTGTTCCAGACTCAACAGAATGGCGGTTTCTTGTTATCGAAAGTTTGATAGATTATTAGAGTCTATCTTATACTGCCCCTAAAAATCAGGGCTCTAGATTCCTCTGGTCGCTTCTTCTCATACCAGATAAATAGCATAAAGTCTGTATAATTGAATGCATGAGATTAAAACATGTAATATTCGAGAGTCATTTTCTATGGGCTTTACGCCCACGTGTTGAACTTTTACTTTCATCAAGAAAAAACCATGAGTCTCTTGGCCAAAGCTCCGAGTTCGTATCACGAGTCAAATTTGCTGAGTTAGGTAAGAGTAGCTGCTCTTATTGGGCTTCAAGGCCATAAATAACCCCCTAATTAAAGCGGCCAGCTGCCTGCATTCACCAACTTCTGTCTGGCCTCTGACCATTCTGTACTATTGACTTCCCACTTCCAACCTGTAGGATTGTCGCCATAACTCAATACCTCCTTGCATTTCAGATTGTCGAACCCAAATGAGCTCATCAGTGTTTGCCATGGCGCATTCTCAATGCCAGTCTCGAATCTAACAACTATACAGCCAAGAGTGTACAACGCAAACTCGATGGCGGCACAGACGACTTCTGTCGAATAGCCTTTGCGGCGCTCCTTGTGACTGATCACGACCCCAACATCAGTCAAATAGCGACCCTCAACTCCTGACAGTGGCATATCGCGATCCGGCTCTGTCTTATCGGCCTCTGGTTTGGAACGGAAACAGTTAAATCCCATGTAACCAATGACATGGTCTGTCTGGCAAAGTGCAATGGCCAGAACCGCGTTCTTTCCGTCCGAGGCATTTTTCCTCCACTTTGCTATTCTTTCCGTCATGTTATCAACAGTCAGACCTTTGATTGCTTCTGTCTCGCCCATGGGAAGGTTCTCGACTTCGCCTAGCAAGCCGATAAATGCCATGGCATCTTTGGGCACAGCATGTCGGATGATGAGGCGAGGTGTGATGATCTCATAACGATCCGGTGGAAAAGGTTCCATCTCAATTGCCAATAGTCGCGGTGAGAACGGCTGGCGGGCTTTTCATGAAAAATAATTATTCGTGCTTATGACCAATATAAGCTGAGCTCATGTACTTTTCCAGATTTTGTTTCTTCAAACGCAATAATATATGTAGATTCAAAGGCCCATTCTTCGGTATATATTGTTCAGATCTCGCGCAGGGGACTTGGCTTTGGGTTATAAATCATTGCTTAATCTATTGAGGTTGGATTTGCACCCAATGTGTCGTAAGCAGACATCCTCCAGGGTTCATTAGTCAGCCGTGATCTCTTCCACGACACGTGTCCATAGCTTTAGGCCCTTGTCGGCGATCCCTGCATGACTGAACAACATCCGCTTTGCAATAAACGTAGGTGAGCAGATTCTTGATTCAGACTGTTGCGATATGGTAGGATCAGCCTGACAGAAAATATATTGCAAGTCGTGTTTTTGATACACAGGCGTGCGCAAAGATCTTGCTGCCGTAACACGAGTAGCGCATACAGTGTTCGGCGGGAGTCTGTTTTCTTCCAAGCCCAATGGACACCCGTAAATCAGGCTAAGTCAATCGGTTTGATATGCTTCAATCGAGAGCGAAGTCATAACCACCACAATTGTGATTTATACACAGAAACTAGTGCTGGGCTCTTATGAGCTGGCGCTTAGGTAGATATTGCCGGGCAGACTACTGGATAATCGATTAATCACAAGCTGAATTGGGGCAGTGGCTATCATGCGTATAAAGTTCTTTTTTTTTTCCTTTGAATGACCTCAAGTCCAGTCACTCCAATGGACTGCGGGTAACGTCTCCCATTGTGTCGTGCCACTGGCGTTGAAGCGCCCTCGTACGCCGGTACACAACCAAGCATACAACGATTGCATCGCTTGTCGTAGTGTCTGTCCATCAATCAACCCCATCTCCCCCACATCCCCATTGGGGCCGAGTTGCGTCCAAATAATATTTTGATTCAATTTTCATACGCACGGTGGGGGAGAGTTCAATCGAGTCCCGACAAATAATATTATAGGGGTTCTCGCCGGTCGCACGTGGCAGAAAGAACCACCCTGACAAAAGAAAAGCAAAAGCGACCGACAAACCGCCCTGTCTTCAACCCATCGCAGTCAAAATCTCAACGGCACGCCTATTTCTTCTGAAGCTTCCACTCGGTTACCTGCTTCTTCACAGTGGCTCCGCATTTCATATGACCACTGGCAGAGACCTTGCCGTCCTTGGCATAGTCCTTGACGGACTTCTCGATGAGGTCTATTACGTTCTGTCCGCCAACGTAGAATTCGGAGTTACCGTCGATCTTGGAAGCCCTGAATGAAAACTTGCAGCCCTTGGCCGTGATGTCTCTCCAAGGCTTGCCTACGACCGCTTGGGTCCATTCGGTGGTCGTGTCCCCCTGGATGTTGCGGATGATCTGCTCGCAGTCGGCCACGGACGGCGAGTCGTCTTTAGTGCTGCCATTGTCGTACTCGTAATCACCACAATTGGAAAGCCCCTTGACCGCGTCACACGGCCAGTTCGGTGTCGAACCCTTCTTTGGGGCGCCTACATTCCCGGTCGTGGCGTCCCACGACTTCCATGCGACCACGGGGCTACAGATAGGGAGGGAAATGAACCCCGGCGTGGTGATGTCCATTTCGTAAAGCGCATCAGTGTTGTCATTGTTGTTGAGGTCGACGCTGCCAGGATGCGCACCATTCTTCAGGCCGTTCTTTACATACGTACGCATCGCCCCAGCGACAATGTCATCTCTGGTGAGTCCACCATAGTCTTTACCATCAAGGCTGGTAATGCCCTGGGGCGCAGCAAATTTACGGTCCTCGCAGTCGACCTCTGTGCACTCTTGTGGGTCACCTTCTACCATGGCGAGGAAGTAGATGCGGTTGTTGTAGCAGACGCCCGTCTGCCGCTGCACGTCCTCCGTCATGTACTTGGTGATTGGGTTGCTCGTGCCGCAGGCAGCCCCGGAGTCGATGATGAAGGGGTAGTAGCCTGCCCTGAACCACAGGATCGGAATCGCATACGCAAAAAAGGACTTGCGAATGTTCTTGAAGAGATCAAGGTCAGACGTTGGATCGGGGCCCATGGGGTACAGGGCGCCGTTGGCGAGGAGTTTGTCGAGCACCGCGAGTGACGCGTCGCTGCCGTCGAAGATCTTCTTGAGGGACTTGGCCGTGATGTCTTCCCAGCCTTCAATGACCTGGCCCATGTACGCTGAGAACGTGGCTTGTTTCTCCGGGGTCCAGTCGCCCGCCTTGGGTGCGCTCTTCAGATCCTTGGCCAGACCAATCGACTGGCCGATCATGTTCATGGTCGTGTCCTTGGCGTTGTTAAATGCCGTGTTGCCCGGTTTGGCGAATCTGGGCAGCTTGGCGATGATGTTGTTGAAAAAAGGTCCTGCAGCCGTCAGGATGCCTATGGAGAGCAGATCGAGGAGGATGAAGAGCGACTCGTTGTCCGGGGGTGGGGGGATCGGGGCAAACGTGTTCTCCATGTCCTGCACCTTGAGCCCAAAGGTCGACGCGCCGCTGGTGAGGGCCGTGTAGTACGACTGATGCATGGTGTGGATCAGGACGAGCGAGTTCCAAATCAGTTCGCCCGCAGGTCCTGATAATTCGCCGTTCATGCCGGGGGAGCAGCCATCAGAGTTGCACTGCGAGTCCAAGACTCTCGTGCAGCCCTCAGAAGCGGTCTCGATCTTGAGGGTTTCGTGAACAGAAAACATAAAGGTGAGTCTCGGGTTCTCGCCGCTCTCGAACCGTGGCCGGTCGGTCTTGGTCCAGACGCGCTTAACGTCGGACCATGCGTCGTCGGCGCCCAGGCCACTCCATAGGGTAGAGACGTCGTACTCCTTTTGGTGTACTACCATCTCGGTTGTGCATGTAATGTTCGTCCAGTTGCCGCTGCGCGAGTCGTCACTCTTGGGATCCTCGCCGTCGAGCACCTTTTGCTTGAACGAAGCCCAGTCGCTCGCGGGCGCCGGCACGTCGTTGTACTTTTCCAAGTCGATCGCCCAGTCCGTGGTGCCTCCCATGCCCAAGGCCGTGTAGAGAGCCGCGCGCGTCTTCTTGGTTGCCGGGCTCATGTACGAGACCCATTCGTCATTGTCATAGACGAGAATGTCGCTATTGCTGCTGTCGTCGACGAAGCTCGTCACGACGCGCCCGGCACGCTTCTTGTTCCCGATAATCTCGCGAATCTCGGCATCTGCTATATACCCTCCCGTGCCCGTGCAGACACCCTTTTTGGCCGGGCTGTTGACCTTATCTCCCAAGTAGTTGCACTGTGGCCCCCAGCAGCCCGTCGCGGCCATCTTGTAGGTCCGACCGTAGCTCGTCACGCCGACAATCACCTTGCGGCCAGGCACGCCCGCCTTGGTGATCATGGCCAGCGACAGCATCGTCTGGGTCAGGTTCACCTGGCTTCGAAGGCAATTGCCATTCTCACAGCCGTCCTGGGAGTTCTTGTTGTCCGTATCCCACTGGCCTACAAGATGTGTGCTTCTGGGTCAGAATTCGAGACACGTCAAAGCGGGTGATTTGGAGAATACGCACCATGAAGATCATAGGTCATGTAGACAATGTAGTCGACTACTTCGCCAATCTCCTTGATGGGAAATTGTTTCAAGTACCAGTACGACGACGGCGCGGCAATAGAGACGGTCTTGCCTGACAGAAGGCTTTTGAGGATGACCAAGAACTTCAAGTACCTGACACCATCGTCGGGATCACCAGGCGGAATGTCGGGAATATCAGGAGCGCCGGGGTATTCCCAGTCAATGTCAACGCCATCAAGGTCATGCTTTTTAATGAAATCAGCGATGTTAGTTGCTACTCTGAGCCTATTGGCGTCAGTTACGGCGTTGCGGAAAATCATGTACGTGGTGTTCAGGGCCGAAAAGTCCCAGCCGCCAAAGGACAAGATCCGCCTCGGGCCGCGAATCTTTTTAAACTGCTCAAACTGATAGGTTGACAGGATGTTGCCCGTCTCAACTTCAAATGCCGGCGTCAGGGTGCCAAAGCTAAAGTGGACGTGCGTGTAAGCGCTCCTGTCGATCTGGGAAGCATCCTGGTAGAGGCACTCGCGGTTCATCGAGTAGCCCTCAAAGTAGCCAACACGGATCGCTCCATTGCCATCGCCCTTGACAATGTCCATGCCACAGTTGGAGATGCATCCGTATGTGCCAGGCTCGGCGGTGCCTGGAGCTCCCGTGCCTGTATCGACACAGAAGTCCTTGCTGATACCACAGTGACCCCACTGTGTTGCTCCAAGTTAGCGCAGTGTAAGGGTGTCAAGTCAGGCAGCGTTCACTTACAATGTTGCAGCAGGCATTGATCGGGCACGGGTTCATCTTGGAAATGTCCGAGTCGTCCTTGGGGTCCACGCTGTTGGGCTTTTGTGGTCCGCAGATAGCGTCGGGCAAACTGGCTGGAAACGGCGGCCTGCCCTTGCTCAGGCACATGACGGTCCCCTTGAACAGGACGTGCTTGCAAGTGTTCCAGCCCCACGTCTTGTGGTTATACTCATTCAGCAGATCGTGCGAGAGCGAGTACTCGGCGGACAGGCTGTCGCAGGTGTCTCCATCAACAATCTTGTGTGTGAAGCAAGAGCCGTCGGCATTCCGAGGTGGAGCAAAGTCAGGCATGGACCCGGCGGAACAGCAGATGTGCTGCTTGGCCTTGAGGCCGTTGCAGAACTTGTCGTCGCCGATGTTGTACTTGTCGAAGTCCTTCCTCGAGATGCCACACCTAGCTGCGAGCGTGTCGCAGATGTCGTTGTCCTGGACCTGGATGGTTCGGCAGTCTGCTACACTAAGATGGAGGTCGGGACCAGTAGCACCAGGCTTCAGCAGATCGGGGCTGGTCGTGTTGCTGTCAAGGACCATAGACGGGAGCGGCATGGGGAATTGCACCTGGCCCTCGATCTCGGCAGAGTCTGGAAAGGCAAAGCTATCTGCGGAGCTGGTCATGTTGCTGTCAAGGACCATAGATGGGAGCGGCATGATGAATTGTACCTCGCCCTTGATGTCGGCAGAGTGTGGCAAGGCAAGGCACCGTCCGTGCCTCCACCCCGTAATGGCCTCTTGGGCGGCCCCAAAGGTGCCATTCGTCGACAGCATGAGGCCAAAGACGTGAGCGCCGCTGTAGTCGGGCTCGCACAGCTGCATGGCGAGCTCTGGGGTAGATGCGCCCATGGACGAGAGCCGGGCCTCCAGGGCCCCGAGGGCGACGGTGCTGAGCTCTTGGGACTTGAGGGCGCGTCCGATATAGACGCCGAGGACGGCCTGTCCTGAGCGGGCGAACATGATGAAGGGCTGTTCCCCCGAGTACCCGTGTCCGCCGTCGAGGTAGCCGCGGAGCTGCCTGATCAGTGACTGGTGCTCCTCTCCTATTCCGCCAGGCTGCTCCTGCCACCAACCAATCTCGAAGCGGACGTCCGAGCTGGGGGAGTTGTCAGCGGCTCTAGCAGAGATCGTCTCAATGGTGTTCTCGGCGTCATCCTCATCCGACGAGGTACAGGCCGAAATGCGATGCGCGCCATCCACACTATTGTCGACGGGGTCATTGAGGCCGAAGCTGTAAAAGACGCTTTCCGAGCATCTCTTGAGTTGTTTCATGTCTGGGTAGACGGGCCATTTGTCGACGCTGGGCCCAGACTCCCTGCATCGCTGCGGACACACGCCGCGGCCCTCGTATGTTGGACTGGTAGCAAGGCGAATAGCACTGGCCGGCGAAACAAAGAAGCCAGAGGCCTCGATTGCCACTACCAGCCAGGTCGGTGGAGGCAAATGCATGGTGATGGAGCAAGTTCACGAGCACCACAATGTGTGGGGAATTGACGGGAACTTTGTGTATATTCAGTACATGTGAACGGATCTGGCTATATGGATTTATATAAATAAAATGCACACTATCCAAACCCCTCCAGATTCACAGCGGAAACAGCCGTAAAACCGGAGCATCCGGGATTTGATACTTTTATCCGTCAAAACGAGAGTTATACCCGTTACTTTTGGCCAAATCTAATTTCACACAATGTTCTAAGATGAACGAGGTCATGGTCAACTGAAGTGATTGGTTAGTTGGTTGAGTATCTGTACGTATCTACGGGAGTAGTGGAAGGTGTATGTATATGGTCTACAGTGGAGCATGAAGCCCGAAATGAAGGAGGCTGGGCTCCTATTTCAACACAATGTGCTTGAAGAAGGTATCACACAGTGAAGAAGAGCATGCAGCGGCCGACTGACTGCCTGTAGCTTTGGACTAGTTTCTGGTAGGCCGCATGGCGATTAGCAACTATTTATATCATTGTGCGCTGGGTGACAAATCTATTGTACATACCAGCTTGGATAGCCTTGTGCGTAATTGGTCCGCACTTGCTCGGGGTTTCCTAATCGAGTAGGTTGTAAAGGGGGGGGGGGGGGGGGGACCTGATTCATATAACTAGGTAATTACCAGGTTGGATCTATATAAAGGCAGAAAAGTCTAAGTAAGAGATTTCGTGCCTACACACTTCGCCATCTGTCAGTTCACGGTCTAAGATTATTTGCCAACCGGTTTGTGTGAAATTAGCCTATGGGAAAACATTTCAGCTCGCATTATTGCCAAGCTCGAGTGCCTTGCCGACAACTATATAACTTCTCTTCTAACGGTTGTGTTCTTACCACAATAGCACAAACTCATGAGGCTCTTGCGTAGAGAACCCTGATTATGCCAGACTTTTCTAGACTTTTTCAACCAACTAGTTAATGTTATAGGGATGGTTGGTTCGATTAATCCCGCGAGGACAATCACTATATCTAGCGGGAGGGTATATTCTCACGAAGCGCTCCCGGTCGCAATAGCGGCCCAGAATGTTCAGGGAGGATTCCGAGGCGCCGGGATAATCATTCGGGGTTCGGACGCTGTACGTTACAAATCAGACATCAAGGTATCGGCGCTAACACCGGGGCCAGTCCTGTATCTGCTTAAGGTCAGCTGTCATTCTTCGGATTCCCCATATGCCGTAACACATTGGTACATAATACCGTGGTTCAGACTTGGCGCCGAGAATTCGGGCAGTCTTGGAATGTGCTCAGCCACCAAGTTGCCAAGCTCATGATTTGCTGTCACCATGACACAGCCAAGCGTTGTGTCACTCGGCGACGATCGGAATAATCGGCCTTGGCGGCCATCAAGCGGCAATTTGAAATTGATGCGCCCACCAACAATATTTCAGACAATCGACATACTCGCGGTCTTTGAGAGCAGCACAACCCAGGAAACGCAGCTTTCTCTCGGCAGATATAAAGCTGGCCTTGATCGAGTTGAAGCATTCTCCGAGCAGAAAGCCTGCGAATACTTGACATCAGTCACGCCACTGATGCCAGCTTTCGTAACGAACGTACTAAATTAGAAGTGATCCCAGAATGCCACACCATGGCAGGCTGTCGGACATATCCAACTCGGCGAGGGACTGGACTTTGTGGTTCGCTTCAGTATTGGCGGCGGCTGTCGTAATCAACATTGCCGCCAGCTCGTACATGGCACAGGGAACGCTACCGTCCGTTACGAAATCTCGAACGGCGCCAATTGTCCATTATATGCCAAAGCAGAGAGCTTTGGCGTCAGCAGGACTGACCGAAATCGCAGCGGAGTCTACTTCTGTCCATCTGCATGGGTTGTCGCGACGGGACCAGTGTGCCTCGCCGGGAGCGGAAGAAACGGTTTCCGATCTTCCTTTGCGCATAGGAGCGGTCTTCATCATCCTCGCCGTATCGTTCGGGGCCTGCGTGTTCCCCATACTTGCTGCCCGATTTTCTAGATTGAAGATGCCCGCGGACTTCTTCTTTGCTGTTCGGCATTTTGGTACTGGTGTTCTCTTGGCAACGGCTTTTGTGCACCTGTTGCCGACAGCGTTTATACTGCTTGGCGATCCGTGTCTCCCGGCGTTCTGGAATGAAGACTATCCGGCAGTTCCTGGGGCCATCGCCCTCACAGGCATATTTATCGTTAAATCTGTGGAGATGCTCTTACATCCTGCTCAGAGACTCTCAGGAGCGGCGGCGCACGCAGAGCCCGGAGGTTTGCAAGCAAGATCGACGCGCGGAAACCGTTCCCTCAGCATGAACCAGTCCCTGTCGCAGATCGGCCGCGGTCAACCTCCGCTGGAAGAATTAGACGCTCCGAACCAGGGCTCCGAGATCTTGATGATGCAAACAATAAGTCACGATAAGCTCAACCCAGAGCAGCAACTCAAGAAGGAAACATTGCATGTACTTCTCCTGGAGATGGGCATATTGTTCCACAGTGTCTTCATTGGAATGGCGCTCAGCGTGTCCTTTGACGCAAAGGAGTTTGTAATCCTCTTGGTTGCAATTGTGTTTCATCGTGGGTTGAGACCATGTCCTGTGTACTGAACTCTTAGCTAATGAACCCCGTTTATAGAGACTTTCGAAGGCCTTGCTCTGGGGGCCCGAATATCTGCCATCGATTGGCGGGAGAGAAAGCTACAGCCTTTTCTTATGGCTGCAGCTTATGGTTGCACGTTAGTTATTCCTGCCCGCTACCTAATGAGTAGTGCTAACCGTGTCTAAGGACGCCCCTTGGCCAAGTAATCGGGCTGGCAGCGCGGTCTGCGTATAGCCCAGATTCTCAAGTCGGTCTGATCTTGGTTGGAGTCATGAATGCTTTATCCTCGGGACTTCTTGTTTTTGCTTCTCTCGTAGAGCTCTTGTTCGAAGACCTTTTGACTGATGAAAGCTGGAGAGTTTTAAGGGGGAAGCGTAGGGTGTTTGCTTGTCTCCTCGTCCTCGCTGGTGCATTTGGCATGAGCCTAGTCGGCGCATGGGCTTAATTAAGGAATACTATACGTTGAGCACATCGATTTGTGCATGTACCTACGTACGTGTATTGGTTAGTACAGCGTTGAGATCACAGATGGTTCCAAGAAACAGCAAAATGCTGTCCAACAAGCTCTTTGCCATGTCGGCGTACTGTGAGCCTTGGCCTATGAATACGAACGGAATATGATTAGGTGCTTGATGCTTTCCTGCCTTGGGACTGGAGTTCTTGGCCCCCCCGACGCGATGAATGGTGCTGCCGCACATCTGAACCTTCCCGCAGCTTCCATCAGTACCTGGCTGGTCAATCACAAATGCTTTACGTTGGAGATGAGACCTTCGATTTCTTAATTTGAAGGCGAGCCTCTCCATTCTGGCGTACACTCGTTCGCCCATGTCCTGTGCAGTCTTGCTTGCGAGGTCGCCGACCTTGGATTCCTGCCAATGGCATTATATTCGTCAACTGACGTTTTGTCTCCGAATTCGTTTGTTATATGACGAGGATATCGTTATATCTCGCTAAGTAGCTTTTATAGAAGCAATTTACAGCTTCTGCATAGTTGCAATATCGGTCGACTGAACGTAGTCCTCAAACTCTTGAATCTCATCCTGGAGATCGGTCAAAGAGATCTTCTCGTCCTCGATGACAAGGTTGATTTGGAGCTTCTTGATACCGAAACCAATAGCAACCAGCTCAGAAGCACCCCAAACTAAACCGTCCTTCTCAATACCCCGCACAGAGCTCTCGAGTTCGACCATGTCAGTCTCGTCGTCTGTTTTCGGACAAATCAGTACTATAGTCTTTCTATAAAGGAAAGTTATAGCATACCCCAAGGCTTGATATCCATGATAACAACCGTCTTGGCAATAGTCTTGGGCTTGGCAGCCTTCTTTTCTCTGTAAGCAGCCAAACGCTCCTCACGGGCCTTGACCTCCTCGGGGTTCTCCTCCTCGGAGTCACTGCCGAAGAGATCCTCCTTATCACTATCGTTGCTGGCGACCGGCGCCTTGGTGGTATCCTTAGGGAGATCGGCGGAAGCCATATTGAGAATTGTTGAGGGAGATGAAGAGGAAGAAATAAGACTTTGTTGGGTATCTTGGTTGGGTTGAACTTTGCAAGAAAAGTAGTGGACACGGCGTTGATGGTTTCGACGCAGAATGTCCGGGTATAAAGGCGAATAGATTCTAGTATAGGGATATGATATAGATTAGGACAGCGTTATGATATAGATCAGGAAGGCGTTATGGTGACTCATACCGTAAGGATATTTTTAGAACCAGGACCGTAAGAGGGCTTAGCGAAGCTCGAGCCACTCTGTTGATTTTGCGTATTATAGATTAGCGTACTAATTGGGTAACTGGTAATGGATCTGATCTGACTTATATGGATTTCAATGGAGAATAGATCCGACGCCGGATCTTACAAGCATATCTTGATCTCACACGAGTGACGCATGTAGTCACGGACTTGCGGGGGTCCGTGATAGCTGATCTACTCCATAAACGATAACTTATCGGTGCTTATCGCCCATGCGGCCGCTAGTCGCTAGCGTGACCCGATCGTCCCAGACCGTAACTCTTTGACTATCACTGCTTCCGCTAATGCCACGGATCGGAAGCTCACCAACTTCAAAATTGGAGTTCAACCTATTTGCCTGCCCAGAGGTGCGGTCCCCTTCCAAGACCCACAGGGTCGTGATATCCGGCGCGGTTTAAATGGATAACAGGATCGAGAGCCCAAGTTCCGCCTCTCGATTATTCTACTCGAAATCTAAGATGCCAAACGGCCAGGTTTAAGGAATTTGACTGCGCCACTAACAGAAGCCGAGGATTAAGACGGTGCACGATAGTCGGGCTGCCTTTTATGATATAACCACCGCCCATCGGCCGGATACCCTTCATACATTCACATTAATTTCTGGATGAACTTGTCGCGCCACAGACTAAAACAATAGCAGCGCATAGTGGATGTGCCTCTTACCTCACGGAGGATCCTAGCAGATCCAAACATAGCTGGAAATCTACTCAAATTATATACAAGCTGTGTCCCGGTATATGACTCGACGACTTTTATCCATTTCCCATATAATTACATTGCTACTCCTTTGCGACATAGCGAGACTTGTGCGATAGCCTTTAATCGAAGAGGTTTAGTTATACTTTTATAGTATTCGCAGCTGGTGCATTTCCACGATATTCCTAAAATACCAAATATAAATTGCCTGCTAGATAATATGGCCTCCTGAAATGCCCAACCTCGGTTATGCATTTGCGTGGAATCTCTGGTTTAATCCGCGACAGCCGTCTCATTTTATCCGTCCTTGTATTATGCAAAGTGTGTCAACTTACAAATACCGGATGCCTATATATCGTTACTCAATATATAGCGTCCTGTATAGTCTATAAGAGATTTTTTATGTTAATAAATTTATATAACGATAAAATATTATTAGTTTTAAGTCGGAGCGCGGAAGCTTGAACCCAGCAGTAACTCAGAGCTACGAATTTATGCGTCGCGTGGGCTGGCGATATTGTCAACCTTAAAGACTCAAGGCATTCTTTAGTGGCTACTTCCATAAATCTAGTAGGATCTCTAGGAACCATAATGTGACAAGCTGTGCTATGGCTTTTCTCGCAACTGTCCACCCATAAGAACACAAGCTGGCGGCACGGCAACGCCCCAGAATTCTCTCCCGTAAGCCGATGGTTAAAATTTCCGCCCTCAAGATACATGGCGATGTCCTCTAACACGTGCCAGTTCATGATATGTCTATCAAATGAAGTGTACTTCATGACCTAGAATAGTGCAAATAGCTGGAGAACCGCGCGCAGCCCAGGCCTTGTCATCTAGTAGACCATAGTGCCATGAACCATCCATCACCCACCCAATTTCTTCATTTCAAGGATTTATCAGCATTGCAACCACTTCGAAATGTTCGAAGGCTCCTCCTGCTCGCATGTAGTGGAGTATAACAGCCCAGAATCCGGCCGTCTCATCAAGTGGTATTTTCAGTCAGGCGTGCATAAGTGACTACCAGGCAATGGCACAATTTTCGCATCGCATACTATCACGAACTGGATCACTACTGTACCATAATAGGCAAAGTGAATGCTCGCAATTGTTGGGAAGGGAAACGATTACAATCCAGGGCCTATATGCCCATAAAGGGTGCTGCCATAGGCTTAGATGCAACCCTAAAAGTTGTTTTTGGTTTAAGACCAACCATAGTCCCCATTATTTCGTGTGTTTTTCCCGTTTGCCTCAACAAGTCTTTTTGCATCTGCCTTACCATCACCACTCACTCTCGCGCCTATCGCTCAAGCCTCTGTTGTCCCTGTGTCGCTCCCGCCTCTCCTGTTACTTTCGCTCCCGCCTCTCTTGTTCCTTTCGCTCTCGCCTCTCTTGTTCCTTTCGCTCCTGCCTCTCTTGTTCCTTTCGCTCCCGCCTCTCTTGTTCCTTTCGCTCCTGCCTCTTTTGTTCCCGCCTCTCTTGTTCTCGCCTCGCTTGTTCTCGCCTCTCTTGTTCTCGCCTCTCTTGTTCCTTTCGCTCCTGCCTCGTATCTTCCTCCGATGTGTCCGAGTCAGAAGAATCATCTCTTGTTCTCCTAGAAGCATGATGGTACGTCGATGCTCTGGGAGCGTAGCTTTCTGCAGCGGCTGACCTTCGGGACTCATGGCGGTGGTAATAGGACATGTTGGACGGAGTGTTTTGTCGCTCAATGGAGTCTGGCGGTTTTCAAGAGAAAAAAAAAGAAGAAGAAGAAAAAACCAGAACTATATTTATAGTAAGCTGTACTAGAACCTCGAAGGCATGGAATGGAATGGTCCTTACTTGATCCAATTTAGAAGGAAAGTAGACCAAGCAGCATAAGACAAGAATATGGGAGAGGGTTGCTGGATAGTTACGCAATATACCCGAGCTGATCAGATGCGGTGGGGATCATCTATGTAGGGGTTGAAGAATCATGGGAAGGCTCTGTTTATGAAGTTGCGCCGTCGGGCTGCGGAGGTCCACGCTCGGTGAGTTGGTGTCGGGTGAAAACGGCCGCGCACGACCGAATACGAGCGCCAATGCATGATTCCTGCATCCGTGGTCAAAAGTGCAATAATGCAGGAGTGTAAAAAGTGCAAAAAGTGCAAAATTGGAGTAAGGCTGGCCATCTATAGGATATACAAGGACTTAACAAATGACACGCAAAGGCGCATGAAATTGGAATCCATATAGTGCTTGTGCAGCTGTTAAAATCCTTGTCAGCGAATCACAGTCTATCGTACTACGTCTGTACACCCACACTTGCATAAATACAGACCAATCTCCGATGCAATATCAACGACACCGTATCTTCACATACCAAAGCAACGCATGATCAACAGGAAACTCCACCCGGTAAGGGTGCTGCGGTGGGCGCAGTATCTCTAATAACTTACAAAGTGGAGGTTCATGGGCATTGGGCATGGGGGAACCCCGGGATATCCCGTGACTGCCAACTCAGGCAGCAGCACTGGAAGAAGGCGGCTCGATCTATGTATGTAGGTAGTTACATGGCAAAGCAAGGCGACCCGGCTGTGCTGTGATCATATACCCACCCATAGGCCGATTTTAAAATGGCTTAAATCTGAAATAAGGACAGTATTTGAAGAGGCGCAAGTTCGGTTAAGCTAGAGCTACTCGAGCCAAAGCCAACAGTCCTCATATTATGTTCCCTTCCCTTCTCAAATAATTGTCAAAACATACATCGCATTATGTTCAAGGCTTTGCCTATGCCAGAGAATAATGTCGGTTTATTCAACTCTTGGACGGGATCAGATTCGATTGGCTGTTTTACCAGATGGCCCGGCTAACTCGAGCGAAATCTCCTTGCACCTTGTCACCATTTCCTTGACAAGTGATAATCTGCAAGAATATTTTGCATTATCCTACACATGGGGATCTGAAGATATTTCCCATATCATCAAGGTGGATGGCGTGAGCTTTCCCATTAGAGCAAATCTCATGCAAGCCTTGCAGGCAATCCAAGGCAGGGCTGGCTATCGTCACTGGTGGATTGACTCAATTTGTATAAACCAAGACGACAACGAGGAGAAAGAGCACCAGGTCGCTAGAATGGGCGAAGTATACAAACGTGCGGCTCAGACAATAGTATGGCTTGGAGAACTTAGCGAGGAAGTCTCGCCCGCAATAACAACAATATTAAAACTAGGGCCGCTGAAAACTCCCGACATCCGGCAAGCAAAAAAAGTCGTAGTACGCGAGGCTGCCGCAAACGAGTTCAATTCGCTGCGTGTACTGTTTCAAAGACCCTGGTGGACTCGAGCATGGACTTTACAAGAGTTTGTCATTCCAGATCAACTAACGTTCTGGTGCGGAGATCAAAGCTTCAGGCGCTTTTTTTTTCACCCAAGCAATGCGGTGGATTTCAGAGTATGGACGAAAACTCCCCGGATGGACCTCATTAAGCACACTGAGAGGTCACTATATGGCTGGGAAAAGGAGAAAAATCCATATAATTAGGTCCCACCATATGGTCGGCGGAGGAGATGGTTTATTTCCCTTGTGTGACTTGATGGTATATGCAGGAGGCGCGTTCGCTACCTGGGAGCGCGACTGTGTGTACTCAGTCCTTGGCCTAGCATCGGATATCGATATCCTCAATCTCAAGCCGGTCTACGATAGCCACGCAACCACGACGATTGATATATACGAGCAGCTCGTCCGGTCGCAAATCAACGCGAGTGCTTGCCTCGATCTAATTAGCTTTGCTTCTAATAGCCAAAGGGACCCGAGCAAGAAGTGCCCTTCCTGGGTACCATATTGGCCTACCTATTCGTCCAAATCTTACGATCGGATGGCTTGGCAATCTTTTACTGCACTCTCACATATCCACAGAGGCTTGGCCGAGACCCCAGAGCAGGCACGCGCTTTGTACCGGGCATCTGGCGGGTGTGCATATCGATGCCCTTCCCAAACCACTCAACCAGGCATTCTTTGCTGCGAAGGTTACAGACTGGACCGAATCGATCTTGATGCCGATCCTTCAATCATCGACATGACACAGCGCTTTGAAGACCAGGTCGCGATAACTGGTATGGATGAGCAGCTTCAACTCAAGTCATTCAAACATTTACCACCTGAAAATCTGTGGAAAACTGTAGTTTTGGATAGAGACGATACCTACCTAGACAAAGTTTGCCCAATTGAACATAGGGATGGGTTTCTCCAACTCTACAACGACGCCATCGATAGTCCAAAAACTTTGGATGCGGAATTACTGGAGTGGTTTGTGGCCCACGCAGAGCAATTGTTTGGATCTCTTCCACAAAAGTCCAAGATTATCGAAGATTTGAGAGCTACTGAGGGGATGAGCTATAGGTCGCTTTCGAACTTCGAGAATCAGCTGCTGCACGTATGGTTCAATATGCGAAAATCCCCAGTGCGGTTGGAGAGCGGATCATGGGCAATGATTCCTCCTAATACCAAAAGCGGAGATCAAGTCTACATACTTGCTGGTTGCAATTTCCCTGTACTATTACGGGAAACAGGTCAGGAAGGAGAATTTGAACTGATTGGAGAGTGTTATGTTGATGGTTTTATGGACGGTCAGGGGATTCCCCTAGATCAAGGCAATATGAAATGGCAAACCATTTCCCTGGTATAAGCGACGCAGACAGCCCAAATCTATAGAGCAAATATTTTTACTTCGTCTTTCACGTACGACCTGCGTGCATGCGTGTGTTTGTCTGTGTGTGTTTCTTTGGGGGGTGGCGCGGCGGCGGCTCGTGAGCTAATATTTCTACGATTTAATGAATAAGTGGTACAAAAACGTGGCGCTGCATCCGCCGCGGGAAATGCTGGAGCTAGCTCGTTCAGATTCAGACTTGGGCGCTCTTTATGCGGCCACGAATTTTTGGCAGCGAGGCTGGGATTGTGTTAACGTTAACAGACAAACCGCAGCCGAAAGAGAGAGGCTGCATTTGCCAAATGGTGCAGCACAGCATTTACCGATCAATGACTATCGAAATGTTGAGGACTTCGTGATTTATTGGCTATGATGGCAAAGATCATAAGTATAATCAGTGTAGGAAGCCAAAGCCTAGGTAATCTAGGGCGACGGGCAGTGCCATAGCCATATTGTAATTCCTCCCCGGGAGCGGCTAAGTACAGCCGATAATCCTGGACTGACATAATTCCAAAAAGGGTAATCCGAAGAGCCCTCACGATGTATTACTGCAAGGCTCTGATCCATTGATTAGGCAGGATGGGGTTTTCGCCGAGCCTTACAGCTAAACTCAGTAAGTACAACGGGAGATGGTAAATATCGAGTGCTGGTTTGCCTCAATCCTAGAGCAGTCGTATATCATCGCTCAATAACTGTCTCTGTTGCGCAGGAATGCCAGTACTTGTATCCTTATTGGCATCGAGGTGTTCAGTGCATAAGTCTGGCTTTTGCTGCTAGATGCCAGTCACAGCTCAATGCTCATCTTTGAAAAAGCACTGCGCACACCGCTGAGTTTTGATCATATCATTTCGGCGCCTGGTCAGAGCTCGTAGTCAGGAAATTATTGTCGCTTCAGCTCGTTGCATTCTCGGGCGAACTTGCCCAGTTGTAAAGAAAAAGCTCGCGATTTGTCGAGTCCAACATTTCCATGGGTTACATATGTATCGCTTCCCTGACACAAGGGTGAGAGTGAGCGGCTCCATAAATCACTGGAGTGTACGTATGCATTAATTTCTACATTATCCAGGCTTATCCACCAATGATGGGCGGTAATCAAGCATTTGTGCATCCAGTTGACTACCCAAAACATGCTCAGATCGACATGTCCGCCCCGGTGAGCCCCGTACAGCTCTGCGTTAGTTGTGGGCCCCCATGCCAATTGTTTATGGCCTGCATGATTTGTGGTGGCTTTTCTGCAGCCTGTCGCTTTTCCATACACCGTTGACCGCGAGCAGATTCCTACTGGGGGCAATTTATGAAAGACTCGTATGCCACTGCAAGCTTTGAAGTGCAAATGGATACATGGCTTAGCTTGCTGACCGCCGTTAAGACGTTAGATGAGAAAATCATGGGACACAATAATCGTAGTATAAATGGAGTCTTGCAGTTGGGAAGTCGAACTGAACCGATCCTCTGGGGCATCCCGCATCTAATCATTCTTTCCCGGGAATCCCGGGGTTGACCTCTACTTCACAGTCAAGGCGTCAAAGCAAGGTCTGTCGAATCGGGCGAGGGATTGTTCAATCACAGCGAGAACGCGGTTGCGCTGGTAGCGATATTGGGATAGTGCTAGAGGATGTGGAATAAAGACAGGGGGATATTTCTCATGTAGAAGAAAGGCAAACGAGTCTGTCGATCAGGATGCAAGCTTCCACGATAAGCGAGCCACCAGGACGCCTTGCGGGTGAACACAAAGTTGTTAGGCATTATCACACTCGATTTCTGGGATTGAAATGCTCATAACTTCGGTTAGTCGGCCAGAAAATACCCCAATCGATGTGCTAGCGATGGTGCACCGTGGAAGATCAAGTGCAAAAGAATCTGCAAGTTCCAAATCATCTTTTTGTATTTCAGATCTCATTCTCGGTAGATTAGACTACGTCTCCATCGTTTACCGTGTTTCCATTTCCACGCAGGATTCTGTGACGACAACTCGCCAGCAGACGCCTCAAGACTGGTGCTGCTCTCATTACAAGTGGCACCAATCCACCAACCATGAATGCAGCCATCTGGTCCAGGTCCAAGAACGATGCCGCACTTTGAGGAATCATACCTCCACCTAGTTTTATCTTGAAAAGTTTAAGTAAAAGCATCGTGAAAACGAACTGGAACAAAACAACCATATTCAACACGAACGGCAATATGATGAACCAGAAGATGAACCAGCCTAACCAGCCAAAACAAGCAGCTAGAAAGAAATCCACCACTTTGTACCAATAAGTCAGACTTTCCCACCCTTCATCCAGCAATGATCTTAAGCCAACAGAAACAGTTCCGCCCACGCCGAATAGAATAAAAAAGACCGTCATGACTTCGTTTTCCTCATAGCCAGTGGCATGGGATTCACTTGGTTTGGAATCACCACTTTGGTCGAGTATGTCCGGATAAAAGTCCCTGTTGATGTAGTCGTCCATGGTTCGCTGGCATGCACTGATGTGATGGACGCCTTCACATATAGCCCATGTTGAGAGGGGTGCGAGTGAATGGTCGGCAAAGAGGACTAGCTTGTCTATGCAAACCAGTATTGCAATCCGACGGGACAGGTAAAAGTAGACCAAAGACAGGGCGACGAACACAAAATCAATTGTCCGCGGCTGCCTTCTATAGATGCGCGTCCCGACTCCGCCGAGGAGGGCTGCCATGATGATCTCGGCCTCGAACAAGATGAGGAGTGGCGCGCAGTACAGCGCCATTGATTGGGGATCCGAGGTATATGTCTTGAGGTTGTACAGAAGGTCGAGACTAGCAACAAGTGGGTATCCCACGGCACCGAGGAGGTTTGCGTCAATGTTGAAGAGGTTCCAAATCGAAGGCGGCTTGGCACCGCCGGGGGCTGCGCGGTCTCCGGTGAATGAGCCGATCAGCGCCGTGAGGGAAAGTAGCCACCAGGCCCCTACTGCACCGGGCCCATAGTAGCCCGACACTCGGGATACGCCGTCGTCGATGGCTATAGTATCGCTATCCATTGTGCAATGATAGGTGCGTTGTTCTCATGAGGATGAGAGACTTGACAGGATGTGAGGTAATGCGACAATTGCCTATTCCTTGTCATGTGGCTTTTCTCAGCCGCACATACAGGGAACGTCCCTCGGCGGCCACGCGGCGTGCCGACTTGCGATTTATCGCCTAGCTATTATAGACTTGTTCTTTTTTCCACATTTAAAACAATCATTATTCGTTGACAGTTATCATGGAATTTTTGTTGTCGCCAGGTATAGACTTTTGACTGATTATACTTTTTTCTAACTGCGTTAGGCTTTTTTTTTTTTGGTGG